TTTAGTAGCAAAATGACAGTGATTTACGAGACTATAATCCCTTGCAGATATGTGGCTCGCAGTGTATGTTGGCAGACCCCTTGTAAACCAATCATCTTAGCCGAAGGGAGGTATTTCATAATGAAAAGAGCTTATCAAGCATGGAGGAGATAATGAAAAAGGTATGAAAATTTTTCTATAGTGTAAGACCTGATAACCTATCTCATTGTTTGCAACATACAAAAGGCGGACAAGAAGAAACCACAAACGTAATAAACGCTAAAAGAACGACAAATATTTTTATCAGGGAAACATGACCTCGATTGATTTTACGTTTTCGGAGGCCGCGTTTTAATAAGATTAATCAAGTGTCAAGATCCGCTAAATTAAAAACGCAAATACAATTCAGTATTTGCTTTATGATTAGCAATGCTGGTATCTATGTGGCTTCCAACGTGGGACTCGTACTTACCTTTCCCTTGCGCTTTCGCAACCGGTGAAGCCTGGTCGCTAGCTGAACCGTCGCCAGTGTTTCGGCGTAGAATGGAAGCGAGGGTGACACATGCGCAATCATGGTTGTGCGACAGGACGTATTTCCGATGGACTCTTGGAGCATGCGCGTGATTTTGCTTGTTCTGTTAAATTAAAATTACAGAGCAGAAAATTAGAATAACATTTCAGTCGTGGCAGGACGATCCGGTAAAAGCCTTATAAGCGTAAATGTCAGTTTATAACTTTGGCTGCCGGACTACAGCAGAAATGCCTACCTAAGTTTCATTTTTCAACAGTAGCACTAACTCGAAAACCTAGAGAAAAAAAATCCTCAAATATACTTAAAGCTAAGAAGTATAAGAAGTTGAACATTTGGCGCAGATTTAACATGAATCTGCCATCGATCACTTGATCTCAGTGGAGATTAAACAGCTTGCTTGAAGGTGATAGGTTCAACGCACCTGTGAGGCACGTGCTTGGCGCCATTTATGAGAGAAATGATGACGTTTCCAAGTCCTGACAATGACATACTGCTGGCCCCTCCGTTATTCTTAGACCCAGTGTACCCTTCACAGCTAGCGAGATCGATCAAATGCAGCCGGGAGCGCCCTCCGTGGACTGAGGAGAGAAGTGAAGAAACATGGCCGAGAGAATTAGTTGGATTATAGAACTAACGACGCTTTCAGCTTTTTTCTGTTGGTAACATTTGTAAACGAAAGGGGAGGCACTTTAATTAAACACTTCAACAACTTCTTTTTCCGTTTTATCTAAAACATGAGGAGCTACTGCCACGTTTGGCAGAGTTCGTACGGTCAGAATCAAGACAAAGTCTTGATATACCGCCATATTCTCATAACTAACCTTAAAAGAGTTAATAAGGAAGTCAGTAAGGAGAATTAACATGTCCAGATTGAGGCTGTCATCAAGTTGTGAGAAAAAACACTGTCTTACCTCCTCCAGCGTTCTTGGAATTTTTCTCCACGCGGTACTGATAAATATGCACAGTGAAGAACATATGCGAGTTCATGCTTTCCTCCCAGTCTGTGTTGTTTTCGCCTGTAAAAGGTAAAAGAAAAAACGGGTATTATACCCAACTTGCTACTATTCGAGAGTCGTCCGCACAACTGACGGTTAACTCTGGCGACATGTCTGTAGCATGAGGCGGCAAGGAGTATTTCTACTCCCCCCTGGATGGGATGCTAGTCCAGCGCAGGTTACTCTCCAGCAACCTGTCAGGTTGCCCCAACAATTCACTGAATACCTCCTGAGTGGAGAGAGAGGCACCGTGAGAGTAGTGTCTTGCCCAAGAACACAACACACTAACCACAGCCAAAATTAAATTCTAAATCTCTTTTTAATAGGTCTCAGGTCCAAACTTAAAGAGGCCAACGCCCCTTTCTAAAATTGTTATAAGATTAAATGTAACTCACCCTCAGGTTTGTTGTTCAGTGGTCTTGTTCTTGAGGCGATAGCCGCATCCAGATAGTAAGCTGCTTTTTCAGCTGATGCCACACGAAGCTCTGTGGGATTGATCTCCTGCAACATAACGAGAAAGCGTCTTAAACAATGTGTTCTGGGCAAACCTGGTCTCGTGTACCAGAAGTTCTTTTGGATAGTCACGCAAAAGTGCGTGACTGTAACGCAAATAACAGTGAAAGATTGCATGCTTGGAAGAGGACTTGAAAATCCAAATTCAAGAACTGGAAAGTTGGTAGAAACGTCGCTGCTGAGGATTTCTTGAGCTGAGCCCACGATTGCTAATGAACGTGACTTACAATTTTTGGAGCCTTATTCTGAATAGCAAATTAGAAGCAGGTAACTCTTCGGGAAATTCAAGGAAGACGAGTTACCGGATTACTTACTCATATTGAAGTGTAGACACAGGGCAGTTTAGGATTAAACTGAAAAAAGAAATCTACAGTTACCTGAGCTCCATTGCGATCTTCACGAAGGAAAATACTGGGGCTTGGGTCACCTGTGCCATTTTCTGAACCTGCGTTACATCAGAATAAGTGAGAAGGTTACTTTCTCTATCAACAGCAGCGAATTTCATCAAGCTTTTTAGATTACATTTACCTTTCATTAAGAATTCGTTTTTATTACCTGAAGCTTGCTCCGCGAGTAAATCACGAACTTTTTCCGAACGGCCGACGATTTCCACTGCCGACACTCGAACGGAAAACCTTGAACCCGTTCTGAAACGATAAAACAACACAGTAAATATTAGGAAGATTTCTTTACGTGATAACAGCTACCTGAAAGTAAACTAACTGAGGAGTGTCGAGAGCCAGTTGTTTTCTCAAATTGTAATCATGCAGGCAAAAATCTTCAAATGCTGCCACTGTAATGCATTGTAATTCTCGTAATCTTTAGTGCCCTTCACTTAACAGCTTCTTGTCATTACTAAGTATTGTNAACGCAAATAACAGTGAAAGATTGCATGCTTGGAAGAGGACTTGAAAATCCAAATTCAAGAACTGGAAAGCTGGTAGAAACGTCGCTGCTGAGGATTTCTTGAGCTGAGCCCACGATTGCTAAGGAACGTGACTTACAATTTTTGGAGCCTTATTCTGAATAGCAAATTAGAAGCAGGCAACTCTTCGGGAAATTCAAGGAAGACGAGTTACCGGATTGCTTACTCATATTGAAGTGTAGACACAGGGCAGTTTAGGATTAAACTGAAAAAAGAAATCTACGGTTACCTGAGCTCCATTACGGTCTTCACGAAGGAAAATACTGGGGCTTGGGTCGCCTGTGCCATTTTCTGAGCCTGCGTTACATCAGAATAAGTGAGAAGGTTACTTTTTCTATCAACAGCAGCGAATTTGATCAAGCTTTTTACATTACATTTACCTTTCATTAAGAATTTGTTTTTACTACCTGAAGCTTGCTCCGCGAGTAAATCCCGAACTTTTTCCGAACGGCCGACGATTTCCACTGCCGACACTCGAACGGAAAACCTTGAACCCGTTCTGAAACGATAAAACAACACAGTAAATATTAGGAAGATTTCTTTACGTGATAACAGCTACCTGAAAGTAAACTAACTGAGGAGTGTCGAGAGCCAGTTGTTTTCTCAAATTGTAATCATGCAGGCAAAAATCTTCAAATGCTGCCACTGTAATGCATTGTAATTCTCGTAATCTTTAGTGCCCTTCACTTAACAGCTTCTTGTCATTACTAAGTATTGT